TTTCTCTTGAGAAATCATCTGACAGCCTTATGGAAGCTCCCTTGTAAGTGACTAACTGCTTTGCTCTTGCTGCTTTTAAGATTCTTTCTTTGTCTTTTAACCTTTGGCATTTTAATTATGATGTGTCTTGGTGTGGGCCTCTTTGGGTTCATCTTGTTTGGGACTCTCTGTGCTTCCTGGGTTTCTGTGTCTATTTCCTTCACAAGGTTAGGGATCTTTTCTGTCATTATTTCTTCAAATTGGTTTTCAATTCCCGGATCTCTCTTCTCCTTCTAGAACCCCTATGATGTGAATGTTAGTACACTTGATGTTGTCCCAGAGGCCCCTTAAACTACTGTCATTTGATTGGATTTTTTTACCTGTTCTGGTTGGGTGTTTTCTGCTACCTTACCTTCTAAATCAGTGATTTGATCCTCTGCATCATCTAATCTACTGTTGATTCCCTCTAATATATTCTTTATTTTAATTATTGTATTCTTTAGTTCTGACTGGTTCATTTTTATGTCTTCTATCTCCATTTTTATGTTTCTTGTCTTTTTGTTGACGTTCTCCCTGAGATCACTGAGCATCCTTATAACCAGCGTTTTGAACTCTGCATCTGGTAGATTGCTTGTCTCCATTTTATTTAGTTCTTTTCCTGGAGGTTTATTCTGTTCTTTCATTTGGGACATGTCTGCCTCCTCATTTTGGCTGCCTCCTTGTGTTGTTTCTATATATTAGGTAGAGCTGCTATGTCTCCGATTCTTAGTAGGTTAGTCTTAGTAGTGGGTGTCCTATGGGGCCCAGTGGTGCAGTCTCCCTGGTCACCAGAGTCAGGTACTCCAGGTGTGTCCCTTGAATGGATTGTGTGTACACTCCTGTTGTGGTTGAGCCTTGGTTGCTGCTTGAACATCAATGGGAGAGACTGACTCTCAAGCTGATTGGTTGTGAGGTCTGGTCATGACTATAATGGAGGAACTGTTCTGTAGAGGCTGACCCTATGGAGCAGGATTTGCTTTAGCAGGGCTCTGGTGCCTTCCCAGTCTCCCCTTTCGGTGTGTTGTCCTTGGAGGTGGCCCAGTGATGCTCTAGCTCAGTCCAAAGCTGGCCTCTCCGCATGGCAGCCCCTGGGCCTCCTGGGAGGGCTCTGCCACCAGCCAAGTTTAGTTGTAGCCTGTGCCCTTCATGGAGCCACCTGACATAAGCTACAAACCAATCCTCAGAAGGCAGCTTCTTGCTTTAGGCAAGGAGGTGGCTCGAGAGGCCAAGGCGTGAATTGAGGCCAGGTGCCACTAGTGCTGGATGTGGGGCTCCTCAGCAGGAGGTATGAGACATGCCAAAGCCAGATGTTACTTGTTGGGTTTTGTGAAACTTTGAGAGATTTTAGGAAATTCCACAGCATGAGCCAAGACAGGCTATTTGTATGAAAAAGCCACTCGAAGCTGCTAGAGTGCCTGAAAGTTGGGTGGGGCAAGGTCTCAGGAAATCAGTTTCTCCTCAGATGTCCCAGGCATTTTTTGAGCTGCTGTCCCAGTGCAGCAGCTCAGAGCAAATGAATTTGTTAGCAAGTGAATTCATGTGTGGGCCCTTTTAAAAGAATGCCTGGGACTCTAGTCACCCTCCGTCTCACCCAGCCACAAATCTCTGATGGTTTTCACAGCTAGAAGTTGTGGGGA